GTCTTGGAGCGGTCGTTTGGCGTCTCGGGGCCTTCGTGGGCCGTCTTGGAGGCCTCTTGGGGGCTTCTTGGCCCGTCTTGAGGCCCTCTTGGGCCCGGAAAAGCCCCGTGAACCGCTCGTCCCGGACCCCCCCCCCTCCAAATCGACCGGACCGGGCTCCCGGGGGAGGGGTTTGGGGAGGGGGAAGCATCTCACACGCCGATGATCCCCAAGGGGTCGGCGGATTTGCGTACGGGTCTCGCGTTCTGCATCGCCGTGGGCATGGGCCTCCGCCTGCCCCGTGGCGATCCCCGGCGCGCGCGGGGCCGCGGGAGCCAACTTCGCGCGGCCGCAGGAGAGGTGTGGCACACATGGCTCGCCGGTGCGGAGGCGTGCCCCCAGAGTCCTTCGGAGTTCTGCGCGTGGATCGGGGCGATCGAAACGGGTACGGAAAGCAAGGGCGCTTCGCGGTTCGGTTCCGATTCCTTCCCATCCTCCTCTTCTCTCCTGGGAGGTTGCGCGAGAGCGCGAAACTATTCGCACTTCGCGCTTCGCGCAGCGCGAAGCGCGAAGCTGGGAGCCCTTGGGAAAGAATGGGTACAACGCCCAACAGCAGTTCCTGCTCATTCTGAGCAGGACTCGCTGTCCGCGCCGCCGCGGACGTCCTTTCTGAAGACATGCCGCCTGCGCAACAGCGGCCGCTGTCGGTTTTGGACAACGTTTGTGGTTCGACATCGTGCCCCTTTCTTCCGTACCAGTTTCGGGCGTCCAAAGTGGACGCCCTCCCGCCCGTGCAGGGTTAGAGCATATCCGTACCCGACGCCACCCGAGGTATTCGGGGGCACGACTCCGAATCGGTGGATATGGATGGCAGCTTGTCGCTGGCACGTGCCCCCCTCCCCCCCCCCCTGCGCTCCAAGTTGTTCTGGACGCGCGGGGCCGTTGCGAGTGAACAGAACGCGCGTCGAGAACGAGGGGGACGAGGGCGAGGATGGAGGATGAGGCTTCGGCACGGGGGGCGGGGCAGTCGGCGAGGGGGAGGAGGCAAAAAGCAAGCTGCGCTCGCGCCGCATCTGATATCCTGTTCTTCCCCACTCTCGTCCCTTGCCATTGCGTTGAAGCCTTCTCTATTCGCACTGTCGGGCCAGGCAGTTCCTTCACCCTCACGGTTATGATGTTCCATCTTATTCCAGGCTTGTTCACCAGAAAGAATTTCGAGCACCCAGAGAGTACCGAAATTGGAGTGTTTTTCGCGTGTCGGGCCGTGCGAGGCGATATTCGTTCGACACTGTTTCGATATTTCTCTGGGTGCTCGAAATTATTACGATGGTCCTTAATTACGATGGGGGCTACATAACCCCACAGTCTTTCCTGACACCTGGCTTTGAACCCGGCAGAGCATGGCACGCAAGAGCCCCCTCCTTGGGGGGGGAGGGCACGGAGCACACGTGCGCAAGCAGGGGGGGCCACCGGCGCCGCTCGGCGAGCGCGCCGTTCCTTCTTGGACCGACGCTGTGTGGAAAACAGTTTGTATATGCGGCAAGGAGATCCTCCTCCTCCTCCTCCTCCTTCCTCCTCCTCCTCCTTATCCTCCTTCCTCTTCTTTCCCACTCCCTACCCCCTCCTCCTCCTCCTCCTCCTCCTCCTCCTCCTCCTCCTCCTCCTCCTCCTCCTCCTCCTCCTCCCCCTCCTAGGCCCTGGCCCAGGACAGGCTTGCAGCGGCCTCTTGCTTCTCGTCCCCCGCAGGACACACCCTCGCCTGCGTGCTGCTCCCACCCACCGATGTGGGCCTCTCTCCTTCAGACTGTGTTGTACAACCCTCTTTCCATGACCGACTCATGGCGTGCGTTTGCCATTTCCTCTCGCTTCAGTTTTGCCGACATCGTGATGCTCCCAGGTACCCAGAAGAAGCGCCGCCCAGGAGATGGCACGACCATCCGCAAGTGCGGCAAGCATTGGGAGATCGAGTACGGGTGGCAGAAGGGCCGCCTGACGAACAAGAGTGCGGGATGTTCTCTCCTGCTACGTTGCCGTGCCTTCCGATGTTCTCATATCCATCGGATCTATGAACCCCCGACCGCCGTCGCTGGAAGGGCAGGAGGTGTCAGATTGCGTTCGTCTACATTCGACATTGCCGCCTTCGTCCTTTACTATCCACCGCAATAACGACATCAAGTCGACCACTGGAAGACTACAGTGACTCGCCTCACCGAATGGCTCCACGCCACAATCCAGCAGCTCCCGCGTCGTTGTCTTGTGATTGTCGGGACGGACGCCAACTGTGAGTTCGGCAAGACCTCCAGTGGAAATGGATCATACCAGTACACGGCCGACGGTATCCATGTGGGATCACACAACACGGCGGCCGAGAATTTCGCATCAGCGGAATGGTGGCGCCTACTTCATATGGAAGGACTGACAGTGGTCGACTCACACTTCCCGACATGGCCAACCTATTTTGGGCAAGAGGCAGGCCACCGCTCGCATCCCGACCACTTCTTCGCCCCACGGGATACCATAGACGCGACGCTCTCCTGCTGCTCACTCATGGGGGCTACGCGCGACCTGCAGCTCATCCCACACGCCGACCCGAAGGATCACGCCCCCATGCTTTGGCGCCTTCGGTACCGCCTCCACTACCATGACGACCACGACGGGGACCCGACCTGGGACTACGACCGACTAGCGGGATTGGCAGCACCGCGGGGGGATCACGACCTCATTGGGGAACTGGAACGCCTCTGCGAGAACGCAGCTGCCGTGTGGCGCAGCACATCTCGGCAGGACGACCCCTCCGAGGCGTGGCAGTCTCTAGTCTGCGATGTGCGGGAGGCCGCCTTGCCCCTTTTCCAGCGCGGTGCACTACCTGCCCCTACCACCGAGCACGCCCGACAAAGGCAGGAACTCCTCGAACGCCGACGCAACCTCAGCAGGCAGTGCAGGTCAGAGACCGACAGGCTCGCCATCAGGGC